TCACTTCTCTCTGTTGATTCAACAAAACCAGACCAACTCAGCAATTATGGTTGCCTGAGTTTTGTTCATTCTTCAGAGATGTCACTGGGCAGTCAGAGGGAAGGTGCTGAGTTTGTTGTGTTTTTCCACAGCGTGTACTTGTTCGTAATTTTAACCTTTTCTACTCTCCCTTAACAAAGAAAAGAGAACTTCCCCCTTCTCTGCACCATCATTGCTAATTCTGAGCACAGAACTCCCTCCTGCCTGCTAACAGACACTGTGGCTCAGCCAGACATGCTTCCAAGACTCCCACACCACTTCCCAGCAGGAGATTCTTCTCCTGGCTTAACGGCAGCACCGTACCATAACCAGAAAACAAGCTCCAGCTTTGGCTCAGCTAGAACAGAGAAGACCCTTCACCACCTGTGACCAGGGTGGGGTACACACAGACCCAGAAGACCAGGCAGCCCTTCTGCTGGCCCAACATACCTTGTTTCTTGACAGTGATGGGCAGGCTGTAGTTGTAGGTGCTGCGTTTTGCTTTCACAGGCATGTCATTAGGGGCATAACCTGGAGGTGAAAAAGGAAAACCAGTAATGAACTGAGGGCAAGCACCCTGCAGAATATCCTTGGCTCAGTAACACAAGGGCTGGGCTAATGTGGGAAAGGCAGGCTGGTCTTTGGGATATGCTGACTTTAGCAAGGTTGGGAGAAGAGATCAATAAAACCCTTTAACTTGGAAAGAAAATGTGACCTGATGTCAATGAGTGGATGCCAGCTCTGTCATGGACTTATTAGATGTCAGAAACTCCTTTTCCTCAACTTGCCCTCTGCAAAATCAGAGCAGGGGTACCCCATGTCCAAGGTGCAAGACCCAAAATCCTGCACGGGATGCTGAGGTCCTTAAGGAAAAGCTACTATGGAAGCACCGGAATTCCTGCTCAGTGCCTCCCTGAGCAAGGGGGAGGATGGTCTGCTACATCCATTTGGGCTTGGGACACATGAAGGAGGGAAGTCAGAGTCTGGAATGTGCCAAATGAGGAAATACATATAGCATACTATGAAATAAAGTATTAAAGGAGTTTAGAGAGAACTACAGTAAGCAAGGAGCTCAAAAGGTGACATTAGAGCAGAAATATGGCAAAAGAGTTTGAAAAACAATAAAAAGAAAATTACTACCAGGATTAACCAGAAAGCAGAGAGAGCAGCTCTGTGGGTTGGGCCCTTTTACCATATTTCATTCCACAGCGAATTCGGAAGTCCAGTACTTGATAAATCTTTGCTTCAGGGTGTTTTCTGGGGTCATACCCAAACCTAACCCACAAGCTTCTCCAGGGACCTGTCAACTGCATAAACACACATGGGGGAAGATGGTTACAGAAAAGCAGCACAGTGTTGCACTTTCTTCAGTACAGGGGTGCAAAGGTTCTTGAAAAGTTCTAATATTCCCCTCACTGCCCAAAGATTATTTCTTTTCCCAGCTCTTTCCTCAACTTGCCATGCCAATATTTATTTATGCCCACTGGAACATGGGCAATCAGTGCATCAAAAACACAAATATTTGTGTGCTTTTAAAAACTAACCTGCAAGGTCACAGTCAGGTGTTTCTGTGGAAAAAATTCTGCTACTATTTCCAGGTGGACAATCAGAACTGACCTGCAAAGCTGATTAGAACCAGTGGAGCAAACAGGTACTGAGTCCTCCTTGGCTTTAACTTCTGTTCCAAGGCAAGGCTTTCCTTCCCTCTGTCTCTTTACATAATATTAAGCTCAGGTACTTAGTGGTAGGACCTCAGAGGTGGTGAAGGACCAGGAACACCCAGCTGCTGCTCCCTTGCTCACAGGTGTACCACTCACCATGTAATAGGCCAGATATGGCAGCAGCAGCTTCAGCTTGTCCGGGTGGACACTGATGTTGGCTTTGACTGCATTCCGAGACCAGATCGGACGGACTTCAAAGAGCTAAAATGACACAGAAACAACCACAGAACAGTGGGAAGTGGGTCACCAATGGCAGATCAGCTTTCCAAGAGGATTTAGTGCAGCATCAGGGCCTTTAGCCCCTCAATATGAGCTGTTGGAACAGCAATGTAAGAACCCATCGCACAAAAAGGAACTCGAGTTGGCTACAGATTCAAATCTTGATTTGCAGGACTGAACTGAACACAGCAGTGTCAGCAGCATCTACTGAAACCTGCTGTATCAGTCAGTGAAAATCACCAAGAATTTCTGGGGAATTCAGAGAAAATGCAGTTTTTCCTCCAGAGCTTGCTGCAGCAGAGTGCTCAAGTCAGGAATAAGGCACCCACCTTTCTCAGCTCCTCCTCCACCTTTTTATCCACAGGATTGGTGCACACTTTTTTCCAGGTCTGTACAGCAGCATCCAGTGGCTTAGCTGGGATTTCCTCATCATCAAAGTTCACAAAGATGGCATTGTGTGGGCGACGGGCCCTGCTGAGGCCAATCAGGTTCTCACCAGACACCTGGGGGTTGTTGTATCCCTCCCTAAGGAACAGGGAAAGGCAAGGAGGGACTCAGCCACATGAGCAATGGGCTGGTTTAACTTTGGCCCAAACTCCCTTATCACATACTGGTACCATGAAAGACTGTCATGTTTTGGGGGGGGGTTTTGCCTCTGTTGTGTCAAATCAAGGGGGATAAAACAGAACAAGGCAGCAGCTTAAACAGGTGAAATCCATGAATGATGTAAAGGCACTGACCTGTGCTGAATATCTGGACGATAAAAATAGTCAATGGGAGTGTCCAGACGTGAGAAAATTGGTGGTGGGATGTAAAGAGGTAATTCCCTGTTGAAGAACTCTTCCTTCTCTGGTTTGAGCATCAGGACTTTGTCATACATGGAGGTTTGTTTGCCATCAGGACCAGAGTGCATTGCCAGGTACTGGAAATCAGACATTCCTGGGAGAAACAGAAGTTAAAACACTGTGAAGTACATTAATTATATTAACATTTATATTATTACAATACATCATAATATAATAAGTTATATATAATATAATGATATATTATATCCATTATATAATATATTAGATATAATGATATGATATATACTTTATATTACACAATATACTATAATATTACAATAGAATATATAATAATATATCATAATACATTATTATATGTATATTTATAATATATATGTATAGTATAATATTATAATATATTATATTATAATTATATATTATTTATATGAGAATATTTAACAATATTTCTCACACTAAAGTTTCAGGAGCTAAGAGTCTGCTAAGTTTATGTAAAGGTTTCTGCAGTAAGGACACTTGATTTGCCTTCCAGTTCTGAGCTGTTTAAAGGGAAACACTTCCCTTTCCCATCAAATATCCTCATCTCTAAGCCACATGGACACAAACCCAAGCATTTTACCTTGAAATTTGTAAACAGTGGTGACAATCCCAAGGATCTCCATCTCAAACTGGACTTCTGGCTGGATTTGTTCCTCGGTGTCCAGCTGCTTCTTCCTCCTGCTCCTCCTCCTGACCCTGAGCAGCATGGTGGAGGTGGGGAAGCGGTTGGCACACACGGGGTGGCAATAGGGGTCCTTGGGGCGAAAATACAGCTCCAGCCTCTTGGCAGGGTCGGCGTAGATCTGTCAGCAAGGGCAGGCACAGCCCCGTGAGCATCCCACCCACACAGCCCCTCTGCCCCTCTGCCTGTGCCAGCCCCAGCCCCACACACTGCCACCCCTGCCCAGCCAACATGTGGGATGTGCAGCTGCTCCCATCCCGGGTATTAGGAAGAAATAAATAAATGAGAAAGATAATATCCTGAATATTAGGAGGAAATCCTTCCCTGTTAGGGTGGTGAGGCCCTGGCACAGGTTGCTCAGAGAAGCTGGGCCCCCTCCCTGGAAGTGTCCAAGACCAGGCTGGATGGGGCTTGAAGCAACCTGGGATAGTGGAAGGTGTCCCTGCCCATGGCAGGGGCGTGGAACGAGATGGGCCTTAAGGTCCTTCCAACCCAAACCATTCTAGGGTTTTACGATCCCGCCCGACACCCCTCAAATCCCTGCTCGGGGGCAGCATGCCCGGAGCCTGCTGGCTTTGAAGGGCTCGCACCGAGGGTCCCACCGCGGGGCTCTCCCTGTCCCCGACCCCCTCCGGCCTCACCCACCTCCCCAGGGCCAGGCCCGGGCTGCCCGCACACCCCTGCCCAGCGAGCCCCCACCCGCCCCACAGCCCCGCTCACCCGCGACACGCCCTGCTCTCCTCCCAGCGTGCTCAGCATGGCCCCGACGTCCCGCACCAGCCCCGGGTACTCCACACAGACGAGGCGCGGGGCCCGGGGCAGCTCCAGCACGGCCGAGCCCCGCGGGCCCCGCTGCAGCCCCGCCGCCATGGCCGCGCCGCCGCTCCCCGTCCCCCGCACCCCGGGCACGAAGGTTCCGCCGCACGAAGGTTCCTACGGACCCCGTGTGGGCGAAGGGCGGGCCCTGAGGGCGGCCGTGAACTACTTCGAGTTGGTGGCCCTAAACCCGAGCAGAATCACCGCCCCCGTGGGTTGTTTTGTCCCCTGTCCTGCTCGTGGTTAAAAGAAAATGAAGGAAAACAACCCCTGGGCCAAGAGCCCTCGGTACTGAGCACATGCTCATATGCAGCTCATACAACCACTGTTTTGCTCGTGCTGCATTAAAGTTATGCCAATGACTACTGGAGAATAACTTGGAGTCATGAGTTTCGAAGTCATGCAAGGAATCTGGTGTAAAATAAGCCTTTGGTTCCTAAGAACTTAAGCCTTCATCCTGCCAGTGTTTGATGCCGCGAGAGGTGGAGGGTATGAGGGTTAAGCTGAGAGTTTAATTTGCCCCAAGAGCTGCTTGCCCAGGACATGGCTGTGTCACGGGTCAGGGGACTCGCTAACCACACACGTCCCTTCCTTCCTGGCCTTAAGGTTAGTGACAAAATCCTGTCACGGCAAACACAAGGAGAACCAGAGTCACTCAGTTACAAGCAAGCTTTTAATGAACTATCTTTAAAAGGTGTTTTTTCTTAGGTTCAGAACATCAACCCTGACTGGGTGATGTTGGCAACCTGGGGCAGGCTCCGATAGACCGAGTTCCAGAAGGTTACAAACCGGGATCTCAGGTCCTGCTTCACGGAGTTCTTGTTTATCTTGTTGTTGATTTCCAAGTAGTAAGTGCCCTGGCTGCTGTAGGCTGGCCAGGAAACGGGCACGTCTGAATTCCCCTTGTTGGGATCACTGGGAAAAAGAGACACACACAAGTTCAGTTTTATCATGGAAGCTTGTGGATAATGCCTTAAGTGAGTGCACACAGAGTGTTTGACACTGGGACAAGCAATAGGAATTCTGCCTGCCGGGAACGACTTGCCAACCTGCAGTCTCTTCCATCAGCCCCCACTGGCATCATCCCTGGCTACATGCAGGGACTTAAGTCCTGTATGAACACCACAATTAAGGAAGGAACCTCATCATTAAGTATAAGCAGAGTTCACAAGCTCTGAAAATGCTCCTTCTGTCCCCCGAGGCGTGCTATAGACTGGGAGGACCCAGAGCAAACTCCACCACTGGGAGACACAGAACCCAGCTCACAACAGAAACACAGAGAACACCCTGCTTTGGGGAATGATCCTGAGAAGTTACTGGGCAAAGGCAGCAGGCTGAAGGGCTGCAGCAAAGCACAGCTGTGGAACAGGAATCACTCACCCAGTGCTGGCAAAGTTGGTCCAGTAAGCGATCATGTACTTGGAGACGGTCCTGTGCTTGGGCCAGTAGCCCATGGGGGTGGTAAAGGGCTTCCCAAAGACATACTGAAGGTCATCACCATGGTCTGCCCCAACCCAGCTGGGGTAGACAGGCATGCGGGATGGCTGGGAGAACAAGTAGCTGTATGTCTTGGCACTCCTAGGGAAACAAAAGAGACTGGCTAAGCAAGGGGAGAGCAGAGCTCTCTTAACCTGCTCCTCAGCCCCTTCTGCTGGGAATGCAGCATTTTGCTCCCCCAGTCCAGCTCAGTCTTCCTATGAGGGCTGAGGTGCTCACTGGGCGTTCTGCAGGTGCAGGTTCAGGGTCCACTGTGTGGGAACCAGGAAGATGTAGTCAGTCATCAGCTCCACCACTGTCTTCTTCATGTCCTCCTGCTTCGGGTTCTTGTCCCAGCTCTGGGTGTAGATATTGTACGTGGCGTTGGCTCCAGCCTCGCCCCTGTCCACGGTCAGTGCTTTGATCAAATTGTAGATCTCTTCCCTGAAAAGACAAGCCATATCAACTAGTTACTGACCAGCAGCTTCCAGTGGGGCACAACTCTTGCCTGGCCCTTTCTCTTGAAGGCTCTGGACTCAGCCACACAAGCCCTGGGCACTCAGACTCGGAGTGACACCCTGTTTTGAAGGTCGAGCCCTGTCCACTCAGGTCTAAGCACTCAGTTTGGGAGCTACATTAAAGAGAAGATTCCTCCTGTTGAGGGTTTCCAGAGCCTCTCTCACTTACGCAGTGACTTTCCTCAGTGGGGCATTGATGTCAGGTAAATCTATGCCGGCGAAGATGTGCCCGTCCATGTCGTTGACCCCAACCAGGTAGTCAATGTCGGCAGCGTTGGCAAAGAGATTCTCTGGCATGTCTGGGAGGAAATCTCCATCAACCACAGGAGTCAGGGCCAGGGTGTGCACCAGGGCAGCTGCAGCAGGAGACAAACCCAGAGTCTGTTAGGAGGTGAGAACAGACAGCTGTGTGGTCTGGCATATCCCAAGAGTCAAAGAGCTGTGGAAAGAACAGGCTGAGGTGAATGACAGCTTGAGCAGTGACTTCAGCACAGCCAGGATGTCACCCAGAAGTAGGGTAAACCTTGTGCCTGTGGGTGAAAGAGAAGAGTAAGAGATCTGGCAGCCATGTTACCAGGGGGTAACATCCTCTCCTCCACCAAGTCCCTTCCCAAAAAGCCCAGCCAGTGTAGGGAAGAGCTAAACTTCTTATCCCGTCTGGCCATGCTCTCTGACTGCCAGGACTGCCAGCTCCAGCCAGTGCATGTGCATAGCAGTGGCTTGGCCAAATCTCTGTCCTGAGCAACGCTAAAGGCTCATAGTGACCAGGAGCATGAGGAGAGCAAGAGGAGTGTTCTTGGGAAAGGAATCCTCATAGGCAGCAAAAGCAGCAGCGTTCCCTTCCTGGTGTGAGTCCCACACTCCACCCAGCGACTCAAATGGAAATAGCAGGGATGTGGTCAATTGTATTTTGTTTGTAAGCCGCGTGCGGGAGTTGCTCTTGCTACTTCCACAGACAAGGAAGCCCAAACAGCTTCTCTGGAGTCAAGGCATGACCCTTGGACAATCCCTGTGCAACTGCTGCCTGATGGGCTGTGCTCATCTAGCACAATGTGCACCTGCCTACGGAAGGGTGACTGCAAGATTTGGCATTATTGTCCCCATTCTGAAGGGCACAAGCACTGCTTCAGCACTCCTGGCAATTACCCCAGTGTCCTGCCAGAGGTTTGGGGAGCCCTGAGTGGGTGGTGGATCACAGTGCAGGCTGGAGGACTTACTGGGCAGGTTGGTCAGCTGCAGGTGGTAGGCCAGAGTCAGTTTTTTGGGATCAGCGGCACGCAGGCAGCTGGCCAAGATGGTGGTGTTGTCTGTGGAGCAGCCCAGCTTTTCTCCAAGCTGTGGGAGCAGAGAGAAACCTCCTAGCACTACCTCCCAAAGATAGGGGTTACAGAGGAAGAGCTGTGGTTGGTTTTAATCTCTAAGCATCACGTTTCCAAAGCCCTGCTGGACATGGCTCCTGCCAAATCCCTTACTAGTTATGCTCTCCTCGAGGGAACTACTTTTTAGGAAGCTATAATCCTTCAACAAGATTTGCACATTACCTTTTTAGCCCAGTAGAGCGGGTCCCTCTGGATGGCCCAGCTGCAGAGCCCGACACCGCTCTGGCTGATGGCTCTCTTGAACAGGCCCTTGTTCTTCGGGGACAAGCTCTGGGGTGCAGAATGGAAACAAGGGGTTCCAGGTAAGAATTCATGAAGACACCGTGGTGTGCCAGACCCCACTGATCACCTCACAGCTAGTGAACCCAGCCTGGGGAGGAAAGTGTCACAGTGCCAAGGGGTCCCTCTCCCCCATTTACACAGAAGTGGCTCTAGTGGGGAGTGACAGAGACAACTCACCTGCAGGGAGACACTGACGGCACCGGCCGATTCCCCAAAGATGGTGATGTTTTCTGGGTCACCCCCAAAGGCCTTGATGTTCCTCTTCACCCAGGCAATAGCCATGTGCTGGTCCTTCAGCCCGTAGTTCCCTGAGCGGCACAGAGCACCCACCACTGAGCAAGGGCACAGCAAAGCTGACCCAGCACAGGGTCCCCCCCAGACACAGAGGGAGCAGTGGTGGTACCTGGCATGTTCTCATCTCCCGTGCTCAGGAAGCCCAGGGGCCCCAGGCGATAGTTGATGGTGACCACGATGACGTTGCCCCGCACGGCGATCTCCTCGCCATCGTACAGGTAGTTATCCAGAAAATTGGCTCCCTGGCTCCCTCCCACCAGGAAGGCACCACCATAGATGAAGACCATCACAGGCAGGTTGGTAGAGACTGCCAGGGGAGCAAGAGGAGCAGAGTGAGCCACAACAGAGCCAGGAGGTGCAGCCCGTCCATCCCCTCACCCACTCCCTGAGCATCACTGCACCTGGGCAGGAACAGACAATGCTCTGCCATCACCTCTGGCCAAGGAAGTCCTTGCTCTGCACAAGAGGCTGAACCTCTCAAGAGGCTG